CAGGCCACACTGTCTTCAGAACCCTCAGCCACACAAGCTCCTTTCCTGAGTTCCCAGAGCCCTGCCAGACCCAGAACCCTCTGCCTAGCCTTCTGTTGTCCTGCCTGTCCCATGGAGGAAGGGAGGTGGGGCAGGATGATCTAGCCAGGCCACACTGGAGCCAAGAGGGGCTTAGCAGCAATCTGAGGGCTGGCACCATGCCACCTCCCTCCACCCCCTGCTGCTCACGTTGTCCAGGACAGGACACAGGGCATTCAGCTAACAGATACGTGCTGGTGTTGCTTGGCAAAAGCAAATCCAAGAATACAAGGTCACCTGACATTTCACAGTTCCAGCCAATAGAAATATAATATGAGCCCATATGTTATTTAAAATTTTCCAGTAGACTCTAAGAAAGTTTTTTTTCAAAAGAGGTGAGGTGAAATTAATCTCAGTAACATTTAATTTAACCCAAATTATCCAAAAATACTACCACTGCAACACAGTAAGGAAAATGCAAAAATTATTAATTAGATGTCTTACATTCTTTTTGTTTGTTTTGTTTTGTTTTTTGAGACAGGGTCTCACCATGTAGTTCAGGCAGGCCTTGACCTCACTATGTACCCGAGGCTGGCCTCGAACTCATGGCGATTCTCCTGCTTCAGCCCCCTGCTCATTAGGATCACAGGGCTGAGCTACCGTGCCTGGCTCTTACATTCTTTTCTGTCATGTTTGAAATCCCATGTATCTTTACACTCACTGTACATGTGAACGTGTGCCAGCCACTCAGGGGAGGAAAAGACTTTTCCTCTTTCCTCTCATGTCCTTCGGTTGGGGCTTACAGATTAAACTGACCAAGGCAGATTAACAGACAAGGCTGTTACACTTGTTCAAAGGAGGCAGGGAAATAAACTGCTGGCTTAAGTGGTTAAAGATAAGGCTCACCCAGAACTGGACACCTAACTTTGTAGGGAAAAGGTGGAGGGAAGAAAGGCTTCGATAGGAAAAACAAATAGTTTTTTTAGGAAAGACAAATGGGCTTGAGGACAGCAGGAGATAAGAAAGCTGGTGAACATAGGCCAGCCAGGATGCAGCCCGGCAGCTTGCCCAGCATGAAAGAGACCCTGGGTTTGATCCCCAGCACCACAAAAAGAAATAAAAAGTTTGTTAAAATATTTGTCTCCATAGGCATAAGGGGTCTTTCCAGATTCATCAGGGCCACAAAACTTCCTCCAAGAGGGGATTTATGGTATTCTCATTCCTGGAGCTGCTTTTAGTCAGATAAAGGAAGCTCCTAGGAAGTCTTAGTTTAGTTTAGTTTAGTTTTAGTTTTTTGAGACAGGGTCTGGCTATGGATGTAGTCCAGGCTGCCCTTGAACTCACTATGTAGCACAGGCTGGTCTCAAACTAACTCATGGCGATCCTCCTGCTGGGATCACAGGTGTGCGCCACTACGCCCGGCTCCCAGCCTCAATCGCCGAGTGCCCAAGCAGCCCTAGGCCACCGGAGACGCCGTGGGGTCGGCGCGAGTCCCCAGCCAGCGGCGCCTGACCTCTCTGCACACGCCGGCGCGACTTGCGAGAGGGTGGAGGGCAGGGCTGTCTGCCACACACCCCAGATCACAGCCCCAAGCGTGGACGTTCGGATCCGGACCTGTGCTTCAGCGGGCCCCGCCCTGGCTGCGTCTCCTTCCCCGGCTGGGAGGCGCGGGTCCTAACGGTGGAGAAACTGAGGCGCGCCTCCTGTGCGTCTGCGGTGAAGCATCCTCCCGCACCCCACTCGCCCTCGGTCTGAACACAAAGCCTCCGGGATCCCAGAGAAAACTCGCACGGCTGCCCGCCTGGTGCCTCGCCGGCGCTGCCCCTCGGACCCAGGGGCGGGTGACAACCGCGGGGACCGTGACGCAACCTAGCGCTTGTCTTGCAGCGAGAAGCGGGGACAGAGCCTCTCACCTGCGCCAGGGCGCTCCCCGCCCCTCCCGGGTCCGCCTCTGTCCCGCCCCTCACCGACGCCCCGCCCCAGGCGGCTTCTGCCCGCCCACCAATCACGGCGCATCCCGCCCACCCGGCATAGCTCTGCCTCTCGCCCAGCCGGTGTCCTCGTGCGCATCCTTGGGGACCAGATGCCTGGGGATCTCTGGGCCCCAGCGCACGTGGGTCATGTTCTCTACACAGTCGTGCTAAGATCTGCGCTGAGGCAGTGTCAAAAGTGACCTTGAAGGGCTTGAGCCCGGTGTTTGTCAGACTCCAGCGAGATGCACACTGACGTCCAAACAGCAGACCCGAGGATCCAGAGCCCAAGCTGCTCCCCCTGGCGTGGGACCTGCTGGCGTCTCGCTGAGGTGGTGCGTCCCGCGTCGTCCCTCATGTGCACGTGGGGAACGAGGTTTCTGCAAGAGGCACCGTCATGACTGGGAGTCTAGACTTCTGGGGGAGCCCTTACTTGGCCCCCTAGAAACCGCCTGGGGGAAAATAATAGTGTTTCCCAAGGGCCTTTGTGAATTTTGCGGGCTTGGACCATTTGCCATCCGACACCCGGAGATGGAGGGCAGAACTTCGGGGACTTGCTTCCCTGTGGCCACCTACTCAGGCAGGTGAGGACAGCAAGGTGCTGGCGCTCACACCACCCCCACCCCACCCCTGGGCCAGACTCAGACCTTTCACTCCAGGGATCCACCCCCATGTGGCTGGGTGACCATGGTCTGGACAACCCCAAGCTGCTTCCATGCTGGTGCTGGCAGCTGTGACCCACATTCTGGTGAGGCAGGAAAGCTGAGTACAGACTGGTGAGCTGGGCTCGGAGAAGGGGCCCAGGTCATCCAGTGAGTTGGTGATAGCTATAACCAGGACCCAGATCCCTGCTGCCCAGGGCCCCTGCGTGTGGAGAGGACAGAAGCGGGGCAAGAGAGCATCTAGACAGAAGCCAGGCCTGAGCTGCCTGAGCTGGAGGTAAGGGGGGGAGGCTCCCCTGGACAGAAAAGGTGGCTGGAAGAAGCGAGAGTTGGGGGCGTTTGTCAGCTATGTGGGTTTTGGGGTCCGTCAGCAGCCACCGGATCCAGGGGAGCCCATGAGTGAGAGCAGCAGAGACCCCACGAAGCCCTGGAGATTTCAGGTGTGGAAGGCTGGGCTTCTGATCCTGCCTTCGGCTCCCAGCACTCTAACTTTGGGAGGGTGTGCAGTCTTTGATCTGTGAGCCTCAGTTTCCTGCTCTGTAAAGTGAGGATCTGCTCCCTGTTCTGGCGTGGCACAGAAGGTACTTTGTGACCAAGAGCCTGGGCCAGAGGGGACCCTTGAAGGGCCTTCTGCTTTCCCCTGAATCCCCTGGCCCCAGGAAAGGGAGGCCCCAGACCCTTGCTCCATACCCCTGCCAGCATGTCTCAGAGGCCCTGCGCTTGGTAAATATTTGTGCTTCTGATCTGCTTGCTGGCCACTGGAATGCTGTGTGTGTGTGTCTGTTCAGCCTGGCTTCTGCCCCTAGGCCGTGGTGATTCTGGAGGAGAACTTGCACATCAGGACCTCTGGGTGCCCCCCACACTCTTTCTGCCTGCTCCTCCTGAGCCCCATTGCTCCAGTTTGTTCCTGAAGCTCAAACTGTGCTGATTGCTGTACAGAGGGACAGGAGACATTCGGCTCTAAAGGATCCCTTCAAGCCAGGTGTGGTGGCCCACACCTGCAGTCCCAGCACTGGGGAGGCTGAGGCAGGAGGATTGCCATGAGTTTGGGGCCAGCCTGCATTGCATAAGGAGACCCTGTCTCAAAAACCATAACTAAATAAAAGGCCCCTTCTCTGGCTGTGGAAGAGCTGGCACTCTGGGTCCAGATGTCAGCCAAGCAGGCCGGGTGTGTGGTCTCTGAGTCCGGCTGCTCTCAGTTTGCTTCCTCATCCCAGGACAGTGGCGGAATGGTTTGGATCAGTGCCCGGCGCTTGGGAAGCTGTCCCGTGCCCCACCCTTCCCTCCATAGCTCTTTGCTCTCCTCCAAGAAGTGTGCGCCTTCCCAGTGTAACCAATACAAACAGCAAGGCCAAGGCTCAGTCCAGTGAGTGAGTGCTCTATGCTGTGTTGTGCTGGTAAATGTTTAACAACCAGCTCTAAAAAAAGGGCTCTGTTTTGCAGCAGTTGCCCAATTTCTGTGCCGTTAACACTCCCGCCATGGCCACTCCAAGATGATGTCACTGATGTGGGGTTGGGAGCCAGCGAGAGCTGGCGGGCCCAGACTACACTGTGAGCAAGCGATTCAGCAGGAACTCTGGGATCGCTGAGATCACTGGTGTGAGTGCAGGGCCCAGGACAAAACAAAACTGCAAGGTCTCTGTTCAAAGCACCAGGGATAAGTGCTTTCCTGCCTGCCCCTCCTCCCATCTGTCATGGATTTTAGTTAGTTTGGTTGGTTTTTGACTTTTTGAGACAAGGTCTCACTCTTGATACATAGTTCAGGCTTGCCTGAAACTCACTATGTAGCCCAGGCTGGCCTCCAACTCCTGGCAGTCCTCCTGCCTCAGCCTCCTGAGTACTGGGATTACAGCTCCCTCCAGGCCCTGCAGGTTTTATGTTTTGTTTTTTTTTCCATTTGGGTTTTTTTTTTTTTATTATTTGAGACAAGGTCTCTATGTAGTTCAGACTGGCCTTGAACTCACTATGTAGTCCAGGCTACCCTTGAACTCATGGTGATCCTCCTGCCTCAGCTTCCCCAGTGCTGAGATGACAGGCTTACATACCACACTCGACTTTTGGCTTTTTAATTTGCTATTTAATGTCTCTTTTTCTCCAGCACAGGCACACTCACAGAGCAAGGGTGGACCCTCACAGATAGAGGGGAACCTAAAGACTACCAAGCACCCCCTCCTGCCAGCCACCTTACAGAAGCCTCAGGAAGTAAGGTCAGACCTCTTCCCATCCCAGAGGCCTGCATTCCTATCCCATGTTTAGAGGTCCCAGCCAGGATCTGCTAGGTACCTGGATGGGAGTGGGAGGCTCACCCTCTGCATGTCACCCCACAGAACACCCCATATTGCTGGCAGCCCAGGGCACAACAGTCACCACCTGACACCGTGGTGCCCATGCCCTTGAGCCTGGGAGCAGAGGGCGGCAGTGTTGCAGGGCAGAGTGGAGAGCAGGAGGTCAGGAGCGGCCAGGGCAGCAGAGGGCGAGGGAGGAAGCGGCCAGGGGTGCACCCCTAGGGCACCCCACCCAAGACCCCTTGTACTTCACTTACAGAGGACAACTCAAAGACAGAAGTCTGAAGAATGTCAGGATGCCTGTCCTTCCCCATGCATGAATCCCAACTGGGCCTCTGAGTGCAGGGCTGTCTGTGACCCAGCCCACAACACTGGCTCTTCCGTGTCACCCAAGTGGGTGCAGGATGGGTGCCCAGGAACCTCCCTTAGGAACTTCAATCCCCGTGGCAGAGATGCCTGAGATCTAGAGAGTAAACTCCAAAGAGGCTCCCAAGTCACCCTCTGAGGACGGCAGTCTCCCCACTTTGTGGAAGTGTTTACAAGGCACTGCGACTTGGCAGAAACTCGTCAGATGAAAAACCACAGCCTTGTTATGGGACATTAATCACCCACAATGGACAATGTCTCTTCTGCTGTGTGTTTGTGTGGCACCACTTTTCTCCTTCCGAGAAACACTTTCCACAGATGTAGCCTTTGCTTCTGAACAGGTGAGAGACAGCATTTTCATGCAGCTGGCTCATTGCCCGCTGCACAGCCCCGAATCGCTCCGTGAGTGGTCTGCAGAGCACCCTCCCTGTCAGAGCTTTCTCCTCGCTGATATTTGTCCTGGGCAGGGAAGCCAAATATTGACCCAGTATTAGCAAACGAAGAGCAGCAGCGTTTTGGCTTAAAAACATTTCCACTTAGCAAGAGTGATTGCTTGTTCTTTTTTTTTTCTTCTTTTTTTTTCTTTTCTTTTTGGTACTGGGGATCGAACTCGGGTCCTTGTGCTTGTGCAGCAGGAGGCAAAACCACTGAGCTAAATCCCTGGCCCAATTGTTTGTTCTTTGAGGAGAATGACCACAATGTCCCAGCGGTGACTCCCTGTTAAGAATCTGGAAGGGACTTTTCTCACCACTCTCACCAGAGTGGGACGGGCTCCCTTCCCTGTCTCAGGGGTGGCAGGATGTGCTGGGGCAGCTTCGATGTGGGCAGAGGACACCAGGACCTCATAGGCTGTTGATACAAGTCCAGCCCCATGCTGCAGCCCCCTGAGTTCTGCCCAGGTGATAACCCACTGCCAGGACCAGGCACAGCCCAGGGTGGACAGGTCTGTGGCCCCTAGCAGAGGGAAGGGGGCGCCCTGCCCAGGTGAGTATGTGTGTGGGGCTGAAGTGTGACCTGGTACACTGGACACCAACCCTGATAGCACATGCATTATCACATGTGGACAGCACTCACCTGAGAAGGGGGCACCCCCTGTATGTTTTGGGTTTTTTTGGTACTGGGAATCAAACTCAGGACCTTGCACTTGCGAGGCAGGGGGCAGAACCACTGAGCCAAATCCCCACCCCTGCTGTGTGTTCTTTAACTGGCTTCCTCAGAGAATTCAGACCCAGGCTGAGTCTAAACCAGGGCCTTTGTACTCAGCTGGAACCTTGGGTAAATGTCAGAGCCTCAGCTTCTCCATCTGTAGAGTGAGATGTGGTACATATTTTTTTGTTTGTTTTTCTTTTTTTTGATACAGGGTCTCCCTATGTAGTTCAGGCTGGCCTTGAACTTTTGGTGATCTTCCTGCCTCAGCCTCCAGAGTGCTGGGATCACAGGCGTGCAACACCAAGCCTGGCTTGCTAAGAGTTTTTGTAACCAGTCTCCAGGCCCCTCCCTGTTCCCATCCTCTAATCACGTATTTGTTTGTGTTGGTGACCGCTCTGCAACCTGGAGCTATTCAGGGCCACACCCCGAGTCACTTCATTAGTATAATCTCAAGAATGAAGCAAAGGCCTCCTTCTATTTTTTGTTTGTTTTCTTTTTTTTTTGGTACCGAGGATCGAACTTGGGCTCTTGCGCTTTTGAGGCAGTCGGCCAAACCACTGAGCTAAATCCCCGGCCCTGTTTGTTTTCTGAACTAAGTGCTATGTAGTTCAGGCTGGCCTTGAACTCACTATGTCAAAGAGTTCCTTCTCAATAACAAAAGGCGCCAGGATTGCTTAGGAAATCCAGGGGCTCTCGGAGATTTGTGCCCAGAATCCTGAACAAAGTCGTTATGCACATTACATGTATAAAGTGTGTTATATATCATGTGTAAGAGATTTGTGTGTGTGTGTGTGTGTGTGTGTGGTACTGGGGGTTGAACCCAGGGCCTTCACCATGAACTACAGCCCCAGCCCTTTTTTATTTTTCATTTTGAGAAGGGAGCTGTCTGAGTACAGGGTAGGACAAAAGAAATAAAAACTAAGCAGAAAGGAAACAAGGAAAATCATAATTTAAAAATGAAAACTGCAGCTTCAAGACACAGGCCCACTTTAATTATTTCTCTCTTCTCCCAGAACACAACAGGCCTGGGCAGTTCCCTTTCACCTGCACATGGGCAGAGGCCACTCCCCTGCTACCTGCACTGGTCCTTTTTCACCTGTGCATAGACCACCTTCTCACTGGCAAACTAGGGTTCCCTTGGAATGGGCCATTATCTTACTGTGGGGGTCCATCCCCACCCACCTTCGACCACAGGTTTCCACTGCCAAAAATATATAAAGATAGTGGGCCGGGGATTTAGCTCAGTGGTTCTGTCACCTGCCTCACAAAAATATATAAAGATCCCCAGCTCCTGAGCATATCCTAAGATCTCTGCTACTAACTCTTCTGAGCTCTTACTGACACATCCTGAAACTTCTTCCGAGACAGAAGTCAGAAAACCTGCCAGCATTCTACACTTAGAGTGGGTTAAATTCCTATCTCAGCTTCTGAACATCTCAGTCCCAGCTGTCAAGGGGTACTCTCTGCAGGTAGTTTCTGCCCTCTGACCCTCCAGCATGAGGACCAGGAAGACGAGAAGAGGCAGCAAGGTTCAGAGAGGGCAAGCAACTGGCCCAAGAGAAGCAGGGTTAGCACAACATCTGGGTCCTCATCGAAGGAGTCTTCCTGTGGTGTGACATTCCTCTGTTAACCCTGGACAGGTCACATTCAGGCTGGTAGCCTCCTTGTGACCCTAGAGTCTTGTGATTGAGGGGAGTCAGAGCCAACAGGGCCCTGTAACCCCTTTTTGAAGATAAGGAAACTGAGGCCAACATTACATAGCCTCTGTGTTACTGGGTTTTGGGGTGCTGGAGTCTCCTTCTAGAGGTGGTTTCTAGGCTCTTTCTGTCCTGAGCAAAGAGTTAGTCAAGACAAGCACAAACAATAGGAAAGTTTTACTAAAGGTAGGAAAAAAACAGGCTGTGCAGAGTTTTGGCCAAGTAAAAGTAGGAAAAGAAGTACATCCTACTGTGTAAGGGCAGGCCACCATGGAGAGAGAACACAGGGGCAAAACTCAGTGTGGACGTCTTTTTTGTGTCCACTCCTCAGGCTGGTGTTAGGTCCTATTGAAAAGCTGCTTGAGGGCCAGGGATTTAGCTCAGTGGTGCCACCGCCTGCCTCGCAAGTGCAAGGACCTGAGTTTGAGCCCTGGTACCCCCCAAAAAGAAAACCTGTTTGAGTTCTCAAGAGAAGTCCATGTGCAGGGCTTTGGGAGCTGTTCTGCACCTGTGTTCCAAGATCTTGTCACACTTTCTTTCCTGGCCAGTTTTAGCCACTTCCTATCTCCCTGTCTTATTTCCCCCAGAAACACATATCCCCATAATTTTTATAGGGTGCTGAGAGAGTGGAGGTCTCTGTCTTCTATAGCTTCTCCTAGATGGAAGGGGCTGTAGACCCTACCTACTTGGGATTATGTGCTCTTCAACTACCTTGGGGTGTTGTGGCTCACTGCCTGGGTTGAAGAAAAAAAAATGTTAGAAGACAGTAAGAAAAGAATTAGTGGCCATTGAGTTGCCTGTTTGAGGGAGAAAGAAGATAACTTTACTATTATGTTGGAGATGTAGAACCTGAATATGAGGAGCAAGTCAGATTTCCACGTGTCTTGTGGAGGACAAAGTATGTCAAAGAAGGAGGTTAGATAAAGTATGGAGAACCTGGGAGCCATAGCCTTAGCAAGATTACCCACATAATGGATCTAATAAAAAACAGGAGCCTCAATACCAGTGCCCATTTAAATCATGGTGAATTAAGGTCATTACTGACTCTACTTATCTCCACCTGGAGCAATACTTGCTTTTTGAAGAAGAGTCTCGTGTCTTTCAAAGCTTCCGAGGGATAGCTTTCTTCTTAGTCCTGTAAAAATTCTAGTGACCATTTTCCATGTAAGATTTTTTTTTTTTTTTTGGTACCAGGGATCTAACTTGGGACCTTGCACTTGCGAGGCAGTTGGCAGCACCACTAAGCTAACTCCCTAGCCCTTCATGTAAGATTTTTATAGCTTGTCACTGTGTCACTTGAGGACAGACCAGAATGGTTCCTCGGGGCCAGGGATTTAGCTCAGTGGTTTCACCGCCTGCTGTGCAAGTGCAAGGACCCGAGTTCAATCCCTGGTACCAAAAAAAAAGAAAAAAAAAACAACCCAGAATGGTTCCTCAAAAAATGGGAGTAAGGCTAGGGTCTGGAAGGGCTGTAGGGCTGCTCTTTTTGCCTCCCTATAAGCCTTTGATTTCCCAATGAGATTTTAGACATGCCTCTTTAGGAGCCCTTGCAATGATGACAGCAAAATGCTTGGGAAGATGGACAACCTCTAAGAGTTGTAGAATTTCCTGCTTGTGTTTTACAGATGATTGCTGCGAGGGCCGGAGGTTTAGCTCAGTGGTGCCAGCGCCTGCCTGGCAAGTGCAAGGTCCTGAGTTTGATCCCTGGTTCTGCACCAAAAAAACCCAAAAAACTACTGTGAGGAGTTAACCCAAAATGAGAATAGTTACAGATGATTGCTTATTAGTCAGCAAGCTCCTTCTTTCCATTGCTACATGAGCATGTAACACCAGAAAAGCATATTTGGCATCTGTATAGATATTTAGCTTTTTGCCTTTTCTTAACATCAATGTCCAAGTAAGTGCTATTGGCTCTGACTTTTGAGCAGAGTTCCCTGGGGGAAGAGGCTTCACTTCAGTGACATGTTGTGGGTTGACAGCTGCATAACCTGCCTTTTGATATCCTTCTTGGACAAAGCTACTCCCATCAGTAACCACACCTCTTCAGGGTCTTGGAGGGGCAGGTCAACAATGTCCTGCCTACTTGCATAGGTCTGGGAGATCACTTGTTCCCAAGAGTGGCTAGCTTCTGGGACTGTAGACATCAGAGGGCCAGGATTATGAGTAGTGCAAATTTTTATAATAACCTCAGGGATGTCTAAGAACACGGTTTGATACTTGGCAAGCCATTCCCCAGGTAATCACAAGTAACTTTTGGTCTCAAGAATCACTCTGACTTGACAAGGAGTCAGAACTTCTAGTTTCTGTCCTAGTTAGCTGTTTTGGGTTTTTTTGGTACTGGGGATTGAACTCAGGTCCTTGGACTTGGGCAGCAGGCAGTGAATGTCCTAGTTAGTTTTTCAGCTTCCTCCATTACTATAGGGAGTGCAAGGACTTTTTTTTTTTTTTTTGGTACCAGGGATCAAACTCAGGACCTTGTGCTTTCAAGGCAGGTGGCAGAACCACTGAGCTAAATCCCTGGCCCCTCCATTACTATAGATGTAGCTGCTACAGCTCTTAGGCAAGATGGTCACCCAGCAGCCACTCCATTTAATTTTTTTGAAGTATGCCACTGGGCAGAGTTCTTGTCCTAGCCTTTGGTTCAAGATACCCAATGCAATTCCTCTCTCTCTCTCTCTCTTTCTCTCGACAGGATCTCACCATGTAGTTAAGGCTGGTTTTGAACTCACTATGTAGCCCAAGCTGGCCTCAAACTCAAAGGGATCCTCCTGCCTCAGCCTTCCAACACTGGGATTATGGGCATGCACCAATATGACCAGCAATTCCTCTCTTTTCTGATATGTAAAGGAAGAAGAATTTTCTTAAGTCAGGTATTCCATTATACCATGCAGCAAGATACACTTGTTGGCTAATTAGGTCAGGGAGACCTGGCAGAGTGCCAAAAGGTAAAATCCATTTTGGCCTTGGCCAGAATTTGAGAATTGCCCCCAATTTTGCTAGTAAATCTCTTTCTAGCTAGGGAGTAGGACACTGTGGGACAATTAGAAACTCATGAATAAACATTTGGCCTTCAAAGAAAACACATCAGAGCAGGGAGTAAAGAATCTCCAACAAGGGGTCTCCTTGACTTCAACTATGACTATAGATCTAGAGGAGGTTTTACCAGAGAAGTAAGTAATTCTAGCTTTTCTCTTTTGACACTCCTCCAGATCCTGATTGTTGAAAACAGAAAAGGCCATGTCGAGCAATTGGTTCATAGATGTCTGCAGTCCCATCTGAAGTTTCTTCATTAAACAGATGGGACAGACCGAAAGCACCTGAGAAACAGGTGGGAATCCAAGGACAGGATCATCAAAGATACTGCTCTCTTCCTCAGGAGCCCTTCTAAATACCATAGATTCTGGGTTTTTCCTGGGATGAACAGTTATAAAAGCATGAACATAAGGGATTTACTCCACCTTCTATGTTTTAAGCAGAAACAATTTAAATGCAAAATAGTGTCATAATTTAAACTGCCATCTCTTGCCATTTCCTAGTTCACACTGAACCCAAATTGTTTTGTAATAATAGATACATTGATCCTTTTTCAAATTGGCAAGATCAACCCTTTTCCACTGATCAAGGATATGGCTTTGCAGTGAAGTTGGTGAATCTGCAGGGCGAGGTTCATGAGGTTTCCCATGCCTCATCTTGGGGCCTATAAAGAGAGGCAACTAGGTCTCAGGTCCTGAAGGTGATATTCCATGCAGAAGAAAGAGACCTAGCTGGGTGTGATGGCACATGCCTGTAATCCCAGCACTTGGGAGGCTGAGGTGGGAGGATCACTGAGAGTGAGTTTGAGGCCAGCCTGGGCTACATAGTGATTTCAAGGCCAGCCTGCACTACAAAGTAAGACCCTGTCTAACCCCCCCCCAACCCCACCAAAAAAAAAAAAGAAAGGAAGGAAGGGAGCAGAGGGCAGACTGATGGCTGGAGAAGCCCTGTTCCTGAGGGTGGGATAGGTGAGGAATGCCCTGCCCCTCTTCTCCAGTCCACCAGAGCCTGGTCCCTCTCAGACCAGCTGTGGGGACTAGAGAAGAGACACCCTTCTGACCTCCTCTCTCTGCAGTGGTAGCCTTCTGGGAGCCTCTGTACCCATGGCAACAGGTTATTCTGCTTGTACTCCCCTGGGACAGAAAGCTCATTAGCCCCCCTCAAGCCTGGTCACTGGATCCTGGCTCCTGACAGGAAGTCCTTCTGTTGAGCTCAACCCAGTCGCCTGGAACTCACCCCATTGGCTGGCACTAGCACTGTCCAAGTTGTGGGGCGCATAATGTACTGCCTGTCTCTCCACTCCTGGTTCAGCATCAAGTCCCCTGGTTGTCTCCCCATCTGGCCTCAACTCAGAGCAGGGCTTGGTTCCCTCTCTGCAGTTCCCCACCCTGCCTCCTCCCAGTTGTCCCCCAGCCTGACTGATCCAGATATCAGCCTTCAATAACTGCCTTCTAGTGACCACTTCCCTATGGGATAGCCAGACAGGACCTCTGTGACTCATGCTGCTGACCCCATACCGGGTGTGGATGGCACCAATAGGCCACAGGACCACTCCTGGCCACACCTGGCTCCCCAGAACTTGAGGCTGCTTCTGTATATAGATTTTTTGTTGTTGTTGTTATCGGGGATCAAACTCAGGACCTTGCGCTTTCCAGGCAGGTGTGATGCCACTGAGCTAAATCCCCAGCCCCAAGGCTGCTCCTATAAAGCCACAAATCAGAGCTCTCTGTGGGGACCTGCAGGGTGATGCTCGAGACCTAATAAAGGCTGTGACTCATGTCCTCTCTCTCAAGCACCCTGGTGTCTCTGAGCTGCCCTTGGCCCGTGAGGACACCCCTCTCCTGTGGACCTGTGACCATACCGTGCTCCCCTGAGCCGCCTCCTGTGTCCCACCTGACCTGCACCCTGGAACACACCTGTCTTTCTATCAGGCCTCCCCTGAGAGTACCCACAGGTGCATTTGGCTCTTTGGGGATGCCAAGGGTCAGGACAGGTTCTGAGAGCAGGAAGGATGCCCACAGGGTCGTGCAAGGCTGGGCTGCCCTCAATACCGAGGAGGTCACTACAGTGAGCACCAGGCACTAAGGCCTGGACATGGGGCCATGGAAGACACTTTCTGTTAGGCTTTAGATCTACATTGTCCCCTAAAGCTTCCTGTGTTCTGAGGTGAGGCTTTTGGAAGGTGACTGGAGCATGACTGTGCTGACCCCATGGCTTAATCCACTGATGAGTTTATAGCTGAATGGGCTGTAAGTGGGCCCAGCTGGAAGAAACACTGGGCAAGCCTTTGAAGAATGTTTTTGTCCCCAGCCCTTCTCTCTCCGGCTGTCTTTCCCCTCACTGCTTTGTGGCTGCCTTGAGGGGAGCAGCTTTCGTCTGCCACGCCCTTCCACCATGAGATTTCTGCCTCAGAACCAGCTCACCATGAATTGAACGCCTGAAACTATGAGCTAAAATGAACCTTTCAAAATAATAAATAAATAAAATAAAATAAAATGAACTTTTCAATTGTATACATCAGGTATTTTGACCCACTGCGGAAAAGCGACCAATCCTGCATGTGGCCTGGGATCTGCAGACTTGTTTTTCTGGGTGCTCTTAGGTGTCCTGCCTCCACCATCAGATGTGATCACATTCAGTGTGTCCCCCTGTCACCAGACCAGCACTTGGAGATGGATGTCCTCCTAGCAGAGCTCTTGTTGAGACCTTGTGGAGAACCACAGACCTCCCACTCAGGTTCCTCAGCCACAGACTCCTCCCTGGGGTTCAGGATCCCCTGGAGAAGGAAAAGGCCAGGCAAGTGCCTGTGCTCTGGGGGCTCAGGAACCTGCACCAGCCTCGGTGTGTATCAGGAGGGGTGCAGTGAGGACCATGGCCATGTATGGGTAGCAGAGACATGGCCTCCTTCAGGATATGTGCAGGAAACCAGGGACCGAATCCTTTCATTGCAGGAAAAAGAGCAAACCCTACCTACAAAGAAACAGCAGGCTCCATCCCACCTCAGAGCTCTGATCTTGAGTAGAGTGTGGAAAGCATGGCATTCAGCAATTGGCTGAGTTTCAGAAGCCAAATGTTTGCAGATTGGCTAGCTTTCACTCTTAATGTTTAGGGATTGGCTGGCTTTCAGTTTAGAATTCAGGCATTGGCTGCCTTTCAGAAGTGGAATCATGAGAATAAGGCTGCTGCTGACTGGCTGGCTCTCAAAAGCACTGGAATGCCACGGTTGAGTCATGTTCTCTGTGATTGATGGGACCAGGTTTGAAGTCCGTCTCTATGACTTGTTCGTGGCTTGGGACTGGATCCCAAAATAGTCTTTTCCTTTTTTGAATTTAAAAAATAGGAACGTTATATTTTCATCCCCTCCCCCATGCCATGGTTGACTTCTCCCCTGTGCAACTAGCCAGGCACACATCATCTGTCCCCAGGCTCAGAACTCTCCAGCCTGGTCATTTGCCCTTTAGCAACAATTTGGGGGACCTGTATGGTAGGAGGCAGATGGGGCCCTTCTCTATCCTGGGTGCCAGACGCTCTCTGGGGAGATTGAGTCCAGCACTGGGCACGACTCAAAGTGGCCCAGTAGACTCCACATCCTGTGGAAGCTGTGATCTGTTCCCTGCTGGTGGCTGCTCAGATAGCCCATAGCCTGTTGCATGAGGATGCAGCGAGGGAGGAGAGAATCAGGGGGCGCATCTGCCTGATGCCCACACAGATCAACCTCTGGCCCAGAACCAGCCTTTTCACTTGGACTCAGGTCCTAGAGCCAAGGGGGGGCCACCATTAAAGACAGCTTCTGCCGGCCTTCTGGGAGTCTCCATCCACTGCAGGAGTCTAGGCAGGCACCTCTGGCTTGTGTCCCCTGTTGTAGGGAACAGGGAAAGGGGACATTACTAGAACCTCTGCAGTAAGTCCTAGTCTCCTGCAAGCCAGGGCAGCACAAGGCGAGTTACAAGAAAGGTAGAAAAATGAGACTTTGAGAAGAAGCTGAGCTTTGGGTCTGATCAGGGCTGCTCTGGGCAGCAAAGACAAAGACCCCTAGCTTGCAGCACCTTTTATTCAGTACCTAGGGAGAAACAAATGTAACAAATGAAATGCAGAGAGTTCAGTACCTCACATTGGGATAAACAAGGTGTAACAAAAGACTAGGGGGTGGCGGAAATTCAAGAACAATGAGGAACCATGCAGATGAAGATTTGGTTCCTCCCAGGATGTCTCCTGCAGGTGTGGTCTTGTCCTGGAGCATCACAGCATCAGGGGATCACTGAGGTCTCAGTTGTGACCGGAGGCCAAAATGGAATTATGTCTCAGAATGCCATAGCTGGCCTGTAGGCGGAAGAACTAGGCCTAATCAAATGATTTTTCCCTAGAATTTTGTAGCATTGCTCCCAACATATCTCCCTTTCTGTTTTATGTGACGGTGTTTTTAGGAAAAGTGAGCACACCCAACAATGGCTTGTCCCTATATATTGTGAGGATCTATAGTATGTTTGACTGGCTTAGCTGTCTATAATAAGCATAATTTCTATTAATTGGGGCTGTAAAAGGATTAAAAGTCAAATAATACTTTTTTAAAAAAAAAAACAATGTTGGCTAAAAAACTTAAAATTTTGTTCAACTCAAATAACTATTGTCTTTAGTTATACTTTTCTACTGGGTGTTTAAGACCAAGTTACGGTGAGACCTATATTAAATAAAGTCAATCTCTTGCTAACAAGGTCAATTAAGTCTCAGCAGGCACTGTCTTGGAACCATTCGTAGAGCCTCTTAGCTCCTCTGTCAGTGTCAGCCATCAGGATATGTCACGGCCTTGCTTGCTACTTTGCCCCCTGAAACCTCACTGGGTCAACAAATGATGTCCAAAATGGAATTATGTCTCGGAATGCCATAGCTGGCCTGTAGGCAGAAGAACTAGGCCTAATCAAATGATTTTTCCCTAAAATTATGTGGCATTGCTCCCAACACCCTGTCTCATTATCATTGATGGCCTCCGCTTTATACCAAAGGGTTGGAATGGAAGGGTCATAAAGACGAGATTTGTCTGTCTCCCTCACCATCACATGCCCTACTTAATGGAGGGTGGATGGTTGTGGCTCTAAGAGGGTTGCATGTGGATTTGGCAAAACTGGCATGAACCATACCCTTCCTTTTGTGGCCCTGTGAAATCCAAGGTCAGCACCTGTCCCCAACCCTATCCTGCATAATGTGGACCATGGGCTGTCAACAGCTCCTTATTTCTGGACCCTTTGTGACCCAGTAGGGCCCCAGAAGTCCTTGGATGTTAGGGTTCTGGGTTAGTCAGCTTAACTGTCCTAAAAAATGACAGAGCATCTTTGGGGAAAACAAAATACATTAATTTGGGTCCTAGGTCAGAAAAACAAATTTATATTTGGCTTTCATCTGGGTTGATTTTGGCCTAAGGCCACTGGTTAGGAGAGCATGAGGGTGGGGGAGGGTTGTTTGGCCCTAAAACAAGAAAAAGGGGTTGAAGCCCAGCTCTGGCCAGAATCCTGTAGGGAACCAGGCCAGGCTTTCCACCATCTGGACCATTCATTTGGATACACGCTTAACTGAGAACCTGCTATGTGTTGAGTGTGGGGCAGGCCCTGCAGAGGCTCAGTGTCTCATGGGGAGGAGGCCAAGAGAGTAAAGCTGCACAGTTGAGCAGTCAGGGCGTTTGGGAGAGGAGTAGGTGTGGGATGTGTGAGTACAGGGAAGGATCTGACCTAGTGTAGGTTGAGAGTGACATCAGAAAGATAACAAAGGCAGACCGGGCTACATCATGT